TTTGTCTGGCCCAGACACGAAATGTCTGGAAAAGACAAATACTGTCTGGTAGACTCTAATTAGCAAATTAGCCCTTTTAAATGACTATTGTCTGTGTACATTATATCTATACATATGTCAAGGAAATTATTTATACATAAGTCAATTTGTATGTGTCCAAACGATAATCGTCTATCGAGAGAACAATGAGTTTAAAATGACATAAAGTCGTTGATAGTCCTCCTTAATTATGCCCCTCATTCACCATTTCCTTCATTGGAGGTTCTCATCTTTATTACATCATTTTCTTCACTAGAGGTTCCAACTGTAAATAATTGATAACAATTAAAACACATAGAAGGATGACTATGAAAATAATATAACTAAAATGCATTGATTTACATGAGGTGGTGCACTTTCATGGTTTAGAACTTGTTTGGCTACTGGCCAAAAAAAAACTTGTTTGGCTTCATACAACAGCTGCTGTTTTATCTTTGTCCTATGCATTTGATGCTATTAAGCATTCCGAAGTGACTTCTTTATCCAATAAATTTAGCTACCATCCAAGTTACAATACGAAAGTGAGCCTTTTTTGGCTATTTAATGACCCACTTCCATTTCCAGGAAACCTTTTCCGGTTTGGCTCCTTCTCCTCCTAGGTCTAGAAAAATGAAAAATAACTCTTAGTAAGTAGAGAAGTGGAAAGAGTTAAACTTTCAAACTCCATAAATCCATTCATTATACAGATATACATATATATTTCCAATCAGCAACATCTATAATGTCGTCAAGAGCAGAGATGGTGACATGCTAAAATAAAGCCCATCATTTTCAGTTGATAGAGTAGATTGCGATCGTGTATAAAGCCCATTGTTTATTTCAAACAAACAAGATTTCAAGATAAGTTGCTGCTTTTTCTGCTTTTTCAAGGGTTAGGAAATGTTGCATTACGTTTAATAAGATCTGTTAACCATCAGAGACAATGAGCTAAAGAGAAATTAAGTTCATGGACAACTAGCAAGTTGAACTTGAGCATCTTACCTTTCTTGGTCAAAACCTATTTTATGGAGTAGCTTTCTTGATCAAAGTGAACTTCACTAAAATTATGCTATACCATCGTATTTCAAATGAGTCCAAGAAAAAAATGACAAAAGAAAGGTTGTCTTTTTTATACAACCAGCAAGTTGAATTTAGCTTCTTACTTTCATGATTAAAATCAATAAGGAGCCAATTTATATTTCTTTTGCTTAAACCCCTAATGCACAATGCTTATATGAACGTGAATTTTAATTGGTAATCTTATTGAACAGCCTTTAGAATGACTAATCTCTTTGATAGACCAATCAAGGAGTTCTTCTCTAATATTATTCTTCTCCAACAAACTTTAACAGTAAGGTTTAACACCAACAAATGACTCTTTCTTGATTATTTTACTAAGGATTAACACTAAAGCTTCAAAAATTAGAATAGTGAATTCACAACAATAAAGTAAAATAGTCAAACAGACAACACTATACACAATTTGAAGTGGAAAATTATACTAGTATAACGAAATCCATTACAACATGTTGTCTGTCTAGACAGACAATAGTATGCATAATTGTTTTTCACATAATTCTTGTGTACATTCAAAAATACAACCACATACCCAACACTTATACACACTTTTACATAAAAACTACATTAACTATGAACACACATACTACAAAACAGTCTTGTATCAATACTTGCATGTCCATACAGACGTTATTTCTATGCAGACAAACAAATGACATTGTCTGTCAGACAGACATTTTACATATGGGGTCAAACAACTATGAAACCCCTTGAGCAGTAGACAGACACTGCACTAAAAACTTCTTTGTTAGACAGACAACCCCTTTCATATCCAAAATATACCAAAAATTCAAGAAACCAAAATCAAGAAAATCAAGATAACAAAACCAAGACAACAACACATACTCAAGCCTTTGACCTCTGCACCTTGTTCATCGTCCTCCCTTGATCTACCATCCAGTTCAACAACAACCGTCGTACCACCATGGTCTGCACCTTCATCACCTAGCTCTCCAAAAGTGACGAATCTATCCAAGAGTAAGTCATCAGCCCACTAATTTGGCTCCATTGAGAAATTTTCAACGGAGAAGATGAAGGAAGAAACTCTTCTGTCGTCCGTCCGTACGCAGCTAGCTCGGATGTGGCACCCGATTTTTTTGGGGCGGAAATAATTTAGCGCAGGGGAGGGAGGAGGGAGCTGTGAGAGAGAGGAGAGAATTTTTGGGGGTAAAGAATGGTAAAAATAAGATGTATTTATATGGGGTACCAAAGGTGTACACAAATTGTGTACCCCAAGCAAAATCCTTTTCTTGAGATACTCATAAAGTTTTAAAAAGCACCAAAGAAAAGTTACCCTGCGTGTATGTAATAGAATCATCATGATATTAATTAATATCCCAATTTTAGTACGGTTAAGAAATTTGATTAGATGGTATTCTGATGCATGCTCCATCAAGCACTGAAAAGCCACAAAGGACTCCCAACTAATTTTTCTTTTAACCTTTACCTAAGATTCCTTAGTCCGTCTTTAGCTTTTTCGAGTGCCTTTTATTCTCAAGATATTCAAACCCTTTGCTTGGTTAATAGCCTTTGGACTAGAGGATTACCTAGCGGCCGACAGTATTAGGCGTGGGTATTAGGACGGTCATTTATTTGTAAAGAGGCATTATTTCAATTGAAAAGAAACTTGACTTGATTATTATATTAGAGAAATTAACTACACAACACCAGCCACAATAGCATTGACTCAATGCCGCAAATGCTTCCCATCCATCTACGGTGAAGTGTTAGGATCGGATGCACGCAGCTTTAGTTTACTCTTATACTAGAGCACAGAAACAAAGTTCTTGTTCCCTAAAAAAACAATGTTCTTGCATGAGCCATGACGAAAATCACTTCAAAAATTGCATTAATTGATTGTTGCTTTATAATAAAGAAACGGTGACAATCTAGTGAGTCATTTTTCTTTATTGAATCATACTTTCAAATCAAAAGTAATGAGTCTTTCACTCGGTTGAAAATGATGGAGCGAAAAATATAATCAAGACTCACGGTCTTTTTGACTAAAATTAGAACTTATAAATCCTATTAAGAGTAAAAATAGTTAACATTTTGGTTTTTAGTGTAAAATGTGGCTATTTGGTAGTACATTTAGGGTATGTTTGGGAGTTTGGAAGGAAGGGGAGAGAAAGACTTTGAAGGTTAGTTTGATCTAGAGGGAGAGGAAAGGAAGGAAATTTTCTTTTTGTTTGGGAGTTGCAAATTTGAGTAGAGTGATTAATGAGAAATTATAGTTAAAATCACTTTCAAGTAGGACGAATTTAAATAGTTGAATTTACTTCATTTTTACTTAAGTTAAAGTTATCATTTAAGCATTTATCTTTCAAAATCTCCCAATTTAGGATAACTTAAAAATTGAGCATTCAATTCAAAACGATTTCTTCCCATTTTCTAAACTCCCAAACACATAAGTAAGGTCATAAACGCTCCTAATCCTTCCTCTCTGCTCCAAAACACAACTTCCAAACATACTCTTAGACAACATTCTTACAGACTTTGGGTTCTATTTTCACTACATTCACAATATGAAAAATGAGGGTCGGTCTAATTTTATGTGTTAGTGTATTATTTTATATTTAAAACGTTTAAAAGCCCATGTTAACAATTGATGATCCTTATATTCACTGATGATCCTTCTGCTACAAAAAGCATAACGAACATGCAGATCAAGAAAATTGTTTGTGAATTGACGGTCAAGCAAATAGGGACGGCAGGGAAGGTCCAATGAATAAGACGAGAGGAATGAATAAAAACAGAGGGAACGTGAAGCATGGGCTACCTGAATCTATCGCATGCCAATCCATCTAATTAACTCTGTTATTCCAAATCAATACACTCAAGCGCCCCTACCTACATGTTTACACTAAAAGAAGATTTAAACACCCTGAAAAACAACATTGAGGACTTACTCCTAGGAATGGTTTAACAAAAATTCTATAGGTACCCCAAATTGTACCCCAATTTGTAACCACCCCCTGAATTGCCTGTGTACACAGACAATTCGTTTGAAAGAGAGCAGAACTTTCTGCCCAAATGTGTGTGTACACAGACGGTGAACACTTTGGAGTACAAATTGGGGTACCCCAAGCAGCTCTCATGGTTTAATTGGGAGGAGAGTGTGTTCAATTTAAGAAAATTTGTGACAAGATTTGAAAAAATATGAGTTTTTGAGACTATAGCAATATTGTGTAATTTGTTAAACTGTAATCCAATTACATTTGGTCTTGATTAGTTTCAAAGAAGAAGTGAGACGTTTGTCTAGAATAACCTAAAAGTATTGTGACATACTAGTATGATCCGAGTACAAATTATGTATCCACTAGATCAAATTACATTATATCATTGTTGTGCCAAATTGGATCATAGATATATAAACATTTTTTGTCAAGAAATAGTCATCTTAAAACATGTAAGCTCTTCTCATATAAAACTAATGATTATGACAAAAATATGTTTGTGCTCCCACAGACCCACACAAGTAATTTATGTCTTGATTATGTACTTTGGACATCAGGAGTTCCTGATGAAAAGCCCCGTGCGGACAAGACCATCAGAGGGTCTTCCTTTTTATGAAATTTTTTGAGCATGTTCTTCATCAAGTCTAGTTTGTCCATACAAAATTCCAGCTCAAAATTCGATCGGGAAGGCAGTCAAATAAATCCTGGAAAAATATGACGCATTCTGCGCACATATAATGTGCAGTATGTTTCCAAGATTTATTTGACTGTCTTCCCGATCAAATTTTGAACTGAAATTTGATATAGACAAACTATACTTGATGAGGAACATGCTCAAAATTTTCATTAAAAAATTCCATCAGGAAGACCCTCTAATAGGCTTGTCCGCACAGATCTTCTCTTTAGGAGCTCCTGATATTCTTATGTCCTTGGCAACCCAAATGTACGTGATATGTGACAACTTTTAAACATTCCATATTTAAACATTTGTAAACATTTGTGGTTTCTTGTACGTGTGAAGAATTGTACAAATGTCCACAAGTTGTATACAGAATAGCTATGTACGTACATAGAGAAACTAATAAAGTATTCCATGCAGGATGTCAGGATACATCCATACACTACAGTGTGCGTTTACAGTAAATAAATAGTAACCTCCATCCATCTCCTTCCAACATTACTGTCTGAAATAGTAATTTTTTACAAAGCAGTAGAGAACAGAAACGATGTAAAACATACTCCGTATTAACTTTAACAGAGAAACAGGGAGGGACAGGAAGGCAGGCTAGCTAGCTACCCCACCCCCCCTTAACTAAGCTACAACGACGTAACATACAACTGTTTTATTCTTCACTCTCACCTCCTAATTAAGATATGATGATGATGATGATTATAATGATCCAATGGATGGAATGAAGCAGCATTACTATCATCATTATCTAATCATCTTACATGGAGTATATATATAATATATGTGTTCTCTTCTTTTGCTGGTTTGTGAAATAATCAAATATTAATGGCCCAAATCAGCATCATTCAAATGCATGCTAAACACCCATATCTTTGCTTCTCTTCTTTCTTCATCACTCAGATCTTACAAGCAAACTGGTCTCAAGCAGCTCGAAAAGAATCCCCACGATCTCTTCTGTAACCAAGACAGAGAAAGTTAGTACAAAAAAGAAGAAAAAAATCTCTTAAACAATTGAGTACTATTTTAAGATGTTGGGTTACTCACTTACTCCTTTGACCTTTTAGTCAAATATACAATTAATTTTATTCTTTTCTAGAAATCATATAAATAATTAAATATGAACAAAACGTGAGTAACCTTACTTAGAATTGTGTTCCATGTTTATGTACAAGAAATTTCATTACAAAAAGGATCATATATGGGCTTTTAATGATTTAGATAGACTAAGTTATGTGGGCCACAATGGAAAGCAAGGAAATAAAAAAGGAGGGGACAAACATGCTGGAATTAGGTGGGCCACAATGTATTTAAAATGGCAGTAATTAATTATTGTACTGCAGTAATAACTACCACGCTTTCATCGTCGGCTTTACCCTGCCTTCCTGGATGGGTGAATTTTAAAAAGGTGACAACTGGGAGTGGGCAAGCGCACTACCATCCCTTGCCCATCATTATCCAAAGACTAAAACCATTAACTTTCTGTTTAGTGAAAAGCCATTTAAAAAGAAGAAAAGAAGGTAAAATGGTAAATTTATGCTCCAATTGTTACCTGTAAACCATTTTCGACTTCTTTTTAATCTCCTACGTTTCTAAAACATTAAAAGTAATTTTTCTTGAGGTAAAAAGGAGACTCACCCGCCGTTTGGTGCTTGCGTAGAGAAGGTCGGGAGAAATCTGATAAAGATCTTCATCCACGGCTTTAGACGGCGGAGACGGCGGAACAGGGCTGGGCGGCGTCTTCACAACCACTCCACAATCATAATCACAGCCGTCCACCGTCCAAGCTTCCTTTTTTCCTCCACTTTTTCCTCCTTTTCCCTGTTGATAATGCCAAGAATTTCATGATAAATCTTGTGACGCAAGAAAAGCTGACTAATTTTGCACTCGAATTGAATAGTTTAAGAAAATGTGTAACATCCATCCTGTACAACCTTAGACACCTTGATTTTAAGCCTATAATTTTAGACCTAGAAAACCATCAAATCGCCCACTGACCCTCGCCTAACTAGCGGACCAATTACCTAACCCGTTGAACATGGTATCACATACTCCCTCCGTCCCATTTATATTATCCCGTTTTACCTTTTCGGGAAGTCCCACTTAAATTGTCTCATACCATATTTGACAAAGTTTGTGTGACTCTAAATCATTCTTACTTTATTCTTACTTTATCAATTAATATCAACCACACAAATCCAATTTTCTTAATAATCGTGCCACCCTCTTCCGTCCCAATATAAATGGGACGGAGGTAGTACTAACAAAGTAGAATAAAGTAGAAATGTATAGTTGTACGGAGTAAATACTCTCTCTGTCCCAAAATGGTTGGCCAAATTTTCTTTTTGGGCTGTCCCAAAAAGGTTGACCATTTCCATTTAAAGTGAAGAATATGTGACTATTGTTAATTCTCTCATCTGCAGAAATTTCAACCACACAGTTTTTATTTTATTAATTCACGTGCGAGTCTGGCCAACGATTTTGGGACGGAGGGAGTAGAATAGTGGCCACAAAAAAGTTTTTAAACAAAATAATGAGAAATATTTTTTGGGATACTACAACAAAGAAAAAACAAACTATTTTAGGGGAGGAGAGACTAATATTCTCCTGTGGCATTTTTACGAGTCTTGCTCCGAGATGGAGCGGATGGATTAGCAATAGGGCTGACGATTAATTTATCGATTGAATCATAATCAAATTGTTGAAATTCAAGCTGAAATGCCTTAGGCAACAGAACTATGAAGAAAACACTTCGAATTTAAATATATTGTATTGTTTAAATTAAAAAAAACTTATTGTAAAAGAATAATTAAAATAGTCCACTTTAATAATTTATGTACATTAAAGAAAAATTATATGTGCATTACAAATAGAGTTTATGAAGATGTGAGTAAATATATTTTTGACAAGATGCTATGAACTAGTCACTATAATATACGGAGTATTTTAGAATAAAGTTTTTTAGAATAAAAAGTCTGTAAATGACAAGTCACTGTGACTAATCATTTGTAAAAGAAAACATTTCTCCGTTAATTTTAGTTGAACCTCTTTAACTTTCTTTTACACTCACACGCCCTTATTTTGAGAATCTTTTATTCATCCACATTTCCTTCCAAAAAAAAAAAAGATGACACCCCATCCCTGAGGGCCCCCCAACACCGACCGGACGGCACGATGGGAGGATGTAAATTGGACTATAATCACAATCTGACAGATAGAGAGTGGGGCTCTGTCCCCGGTACTTGCAGGAGCCCTATGCATTTTTCAGCATAGTAACCCCTCATCGCAGTTGCCGGGATTCGAACCCGAGACCTAACCCTTGTGGCACTCCCTCGCTACCAGTTGAGCTACGTCCACGGGTATCCACATTTCCTTCCCATTTTCATAGCGCGCGACACGTTCACAGCTCTTGACTAAAAATGTCACATCGCGGTATAATTATTGCTTTTATTCCTAAATAAATAGACCAAAATGAAATTGACCACCAATAATGGCTAAATCATTATCATATTTAATGACCCTTTCACATTTGTTGCACATTATTCAATTTGAGACATGTGAATTCCACAAAAATGTTCATATATTGCATCGAAGTATCGCGCAAATATATTCAAAAATAAAAAATAAAACGGATTGAGGATTTCGGAGCGTATATGGATATGAATATGATTCTTAATTGATTATATAAATGGTATACTAATTCGATTATAATTTTTTTTTAATAAATAGCATTATTTAAACTATTAAACTATATACTTCAAAACGTATGTAAATAAACAAAAGGTTGAAATAGAATTAGTAGGAGTGAGGCAGCTTACCCTGCGACGGGGGACGACAATCATGGTCGGAGTGACAACGTCGTTCTCGTACAAGTCGCCGGTGACGTACAAATCCCGGTCCTCGGAGTAGCTGTACCGGAGAAGCCCAGCCTGTCTCGCCGACTCAAAGCACTGAGTGAACGGAATCGGGAAGTCGCCGTCGCAATCCCAGCTGCCGAACGGCGGCACATGGCTTCTCTTCATGAAGTAATCGCAATCCTGCATTTTCCATAATTCCTCCAAATCAGACCCAAACAGAACAACAAAAATGCACTAATTATAATAGCGGAAATCTCAAACACAGGGTGTAAAGAAACATTTACATATGAATCCATTTGGGTATATAGAATCAGTTAAAGCAGAAAAGAATGATTCCTGGAGCTTTAATTTATCTTTCTCTGCTTTTGGGCTCTGCTTTGTGGTTGGTATGGGAAGGGCAGGGAATCAATTGATGGTTTTAAAGATGGAGAAAGAGAGAGAGAGTAGGAGATAAGCTTTAATGGAGGGGATGAGTAGGGAAGAAGCCAAACTGAGCCCAGATATCTATAATGTGGAACAAAAATATTTAATGAGAAAAAAGAAGTGCAGTAGCTGACAAAGAGACAGAGGGGTAAGGTCAGATGGAGAGAGGAAAGGAAAAGGTAAGTTTGAAAAAGAAATGCAGGGTGCGACTTTAGGGGTTGTTTTTCTGTCCCTTTGTTGCTTTTCGTTTTTCTTTAATTAATTAATTGTGTAATCATCATTTATTTTTAATAAATCTAACACACCATTCTAATCGATTCATTAATTTTTACTCACGCTCGTAGGTTTTCACTTTATCAAAAGTTAAATTCTAAGGTTATAATAATGTGAATATATTAGTAAAAAATAATGTGAATATACGGGGCTTACGGGCCATCAAGAGTTTGCCAAAAAAAAAGATGTCCGACCAGGTGGGGGGGAGTTTTTTTTTTGGGGGATGGTGGGGAAAGTTAGAAAATTTGAAGGTAAATTTTTTGAAATTGAAGTAAAAATGTTTCGAAATTTTAAAGGAGGGCGATCATATTTTATACTAAAAATGAGAGTAATTAATATCATGTTTTGAAAATAATGTGATGTTTAAAGTATAGTAGTTCTAGAATATGGTGGTAATTATTTTTATTTCGATAATAATAATGTTTGGGCAATTTGCCAAAATGTTAGGGAGTAGTAGTGGTTCATTTTGATTTTATTTTCACTATTATAGTATTTGTTCTCTACCATGTCAATATACTTAATTATTGAGATTAATTCGAATTGTTAGGAATTACACTCACACTCACGTACACGAAGAACAATTAAAGAACACACGAAATTTGGTAACCCAGTTCGCTACGAATGACTACGTCTAGGGGCGCTACCAAGCCACGAATATTATTGCTATTTTCGGATCAACACACCTGATTACAAGGAAGAGGGCTTGTATTTATAGAGAAGTAAAAACCTGACCTTAGGATGCATTTCCAAAAATAAATTAAGAAACGGGTTTCTAAAAAATAAATTAAGAAAAGCTTGGTTGTACAGTCTCTAACACCTTACAATCTCCCACCTTGAGACTATCTTCTTCGAATCCCCCCTTGTTAGCATGGTAACGCCGGCCTCCAACTCCAAGGTTACCACCTTAGCAAACATGTCTGCTGGATTCTCACTCCCACGGATCTTCACAAGCTGCACTGCCTCTATCTCCAGAAGATGACGGATGTAGTGATACTTCAACCGAATGTGTTTGGTTCTCTTGTGAAAAGCTGAGTTGTTTGTCAAGAAGATAGCACTTTGACTATCACTGTAAAGAATGTTATTCTTGTACTCCTCAAGTTCCCCAAGTAGATTCTAAAGCCATGCCATTTCCTTACTTGCCTCCGTAATGGCCACACATTCAGCTTCAGTGGTAGATAATGCAACAATCTTCTGCAACTGCGAAAGCTAGGAAACTGTTGTCCCACCAAATGTAAAAACATACCCGATGGTCCTCCTCGATCCATCTGAGTCATTCAATGTCAGGTCTGCATCATCATGTCCCAGCAGCTCTACATTCTTCCTATCAAAACACAAAGCATTAGAAGCAGTACCTTTCAAATACCTCATGATCCACTTCACAGCTTCCCAGTGTTCTTTCCCGGGATCTCCCATGTATCTGCTCACTACTCCCACCGCATGTGTAATGTCTGGCCTCGTGCATACCATAGCATACATGATGCTGCCAATTGCCGAGGCGTATGGGACATTCTGCATTTGAGCACGCTCCTCCTTGTTCTTCGGCGAATCTTCTTTGATAAGCTTGAAGTGACTACCCAGTGGTACACTTGTTGCCTTTGCATCTTGCATTCTGAATCTTTCCAGGACCTTCTGAATGTATTCTGCCCGTGAAAGATTCAATCTGCCCGCTTCCTCGTCCCTCTCGATTCGAATGCCCAAAATCTGCTTTGCCTCTCCAAGATCCTTCATGGAAAAACGTTATAACAAATGTTTCTTTAGCTTCTCAATCTCCTTTGAACTAGCTCCTGCAATCAACATATCATTAACATATAACAGCAAGATAAGATAATAGTTCTCGGACTTCTTGTAGTAGCAGCAATTGTCAGTGTGACAACTCAAAAAATTTATGTCTTTCATGAAACCATCAAATTTGTTGTACCACTGCTTCGGTGCCTGCTTCAACCCGTATAAGCTCTTCACTAGCTTACACACGAGTTGCTCACTGCCCTTTGCCACGTAGCCTTCCGGTTGCACCATGTAAATCTCGTCATTCAGATCACCATGAAGGAATGCAGTCTTCACATCTATCTGATGTAACAACAAATTCTCTGCAGCAACTAATCCCAACACTAACCAAATGATAGTTAGTTTCACAACTGGAGAGAATATGTTGGTATAATCAATACCATAACGCTGCTCGAACCCCTTCACAACCAACCTAGTTATGTAGCGCTTGCTACCATCTGCCTCCTTGATGCGGTAGACTCACTTGCAGTGCAAAGCCTTCTTTCCGCTCGGTAGCCTAACTAATCTCCAAGTATCATTGGATGTGAGAGATGTCATCTCATCATTCATTGCAAGTTTCCACTTGCCCTTGTCATCAACCCGAACTGCCTCTGCATAGGACTCCAGTTCACCACTGTCAGTAAACAACAAAAAGAAATTAGAAGGCGAATACCTATTTAGTGCTCTCCGGTTTCTGGCAGGCCGCTGCCTTTGTGGGGTTGATGGATCTTCATCACTACTCAACTCTTCATTCTGATCCTGCTTGCTCCCACCCGAATAAATAAGAGATATCTAACTCCATGATCTTCGAACTTTCTTGCTCAGAATCAGGTGCACTCAATCTATCCTTGTACATAACCTGCTCGTTGAACACTACATCTCGGCTACGAATAATCTTCTTATTCTGATCATCCCAGAATCTGTATCCATAGTCATCATCACCATAGCGAATGAACGTACACTTGACAGATTTGGCATCTAGCTAGCTTCGGTCAACGAAACTGATATGAACATAAGCAACACAACCAAATATGCGGAGATAGGACAGATTAACCTCCTTACCCGTCCACCTTTCTTCACGTATGCCATTCTCCAACGAGATCGTTGGACTTCTGTTGATGAAAAAAACTGCGGTGTTCACTGAATCCGCCCAAAACATCTTCGGTAAGCCACTCTTCAACCTCATGCATCTAACCCGCTCATTCAATGTTCTGTTCATGCGTTCAGCAACGCCATTATGCTGCGGAGTCCCCTTTGTTGTCTTCTCCATACGAACCCTATTCTCAGCACAAAACTTCTTGAACTCATACAGCTCATACTCACCTCCGTTGTCAGACCGAAGGCACTTCAACTTCAGACCTGTCTCCGTTCAACAAGAGCTTTCCATTTCCTGAAAGCATCAAAAGCATCGGATTTATTTTTGAGAAAATAAACACATACCTTTCTTGTGGCATCATCAATAAGGGTCATGTAGTAGGCGGATCCTCCCAAGGATGTAACTTCTACAGGTCCCCAAAGGTCGGTGTGAACTAGTTTCAGCTTCTCCGATTTAATAGCTCTTCTCCCCTTCGAGAAACTGACACGTTTCTGCTTCCTGAATATTCAGTCCTCGCATAAGTCAACCTCAACAGTCTTCAGACCGGGTAGTTTGCCCTTCGAGCACAACTCTTTCATCCCCTTTTCGCTCATGTGACCGAGATGACAGTGCCACAAATTCACATCATTAGTTGTAGAGGCACCAACATCGATGCAGCCCTTCGAGGTCGTTGTCATGTATAACGTACCCTCCTTTTTCCCTTTAGCAACAAGCAAGCCCCCCCTTGTGATCTTCCAATTTCTGCTGCCGAATATAACTGCAACTGCTTCCTCATCCAGCTACCCAATTGAAAATAGATTTCTTCTCAATCCAGGAATATGTCGGACACCATTCAGTTTCAGCATGCATCCGTTCGGAGTATTCACGTGGACTGTACCCTTTCCGACAATTTTAAGAGAATCATCATCAGCAAGATACACCTCTCCAAAATTGTCGGGAGTATTCTTTTCCATCACTTCAGCATTACCGCATGAATGGAACGAAGCTCGAGAATGCAGAACACATGACTCTAACGGACTGCTCATGCTCATGATCAGAAGATCATCATCAGATGATTCTGCCGCTGCATTTGCCGATGTCTTCTTCTTCTGATCCTTGATCTGCTCCTTGCACTGGCTCTTGAAGTGTCCGTACTCCTCACAGTTCCAACACTTGATCTGAACTTTGTCCTTCTTGCCCTTGCTGTTTGACTTGGATTTGGATCTTGATCTATCCCGATTTGACTTGGACTTCGACTTCGTTCTGCCCCGCTTCTCTGTACTCAAAGCCGATCCAGAAGCCAAGCCTGATTCCTTCCTGCGAATTTCTTCGCTGACTACCAGATTTCTGACTTCATCGAATTTCAGTTTCTCTTTCCCTGCCGAAGCGCTGATTGCAGTCACCGTTCCGTTCCAGCTTTATGGAAGAGAAGACAGCAGAATAAGGGCATGAATTTCGTCGTCGAATTTTATCTCAACCACGCTCAACTATGTGGTGATCACATTGAACTCGTTGAGATGATCCACCACTCCCGTACCTTCTGACATCTTCAGGTTAAAAGGACGCCTCATCGGATGAACTTTGTTCACAGCGGAAGGTTTCTCAGACATATCTGACAAAATCTGCAACATCTCCTTCGTCGTTTTTGCTTTGGCGGTGTGTAGGGCGATGTTTCTGGACAGTGATAGTCGCACCACGCTCATCGCTTTTCTGTCCAGCAACTTTCAATCGCTCTCCTTCATGTCTTGCGGCTTATCATCCAGAGGTTGATACAGATCTTTACCATACAGGTAATCTTCGCTCTGATACCAATTGTTAGGAATTACACTCATGCACACGAAGAACAAATAAAGAAAACATGAAATTTGGTAACCTAGTTCGCCACGAATGACTACGTTTGGGGGCGCTACCAAGCCAAGAATATTATTGCTACTTTCGGATCTACACACCTGATTA